GATTTCTTGCTGTTATCTTTTCAAGCCTTAGTGAGACGTTATTTAGGTAGAAGGAAGATGTGATATTTAGATGTTCTCCGTTTTGAAGGAGGTTTGCAGTACAACGTTTCACTTCAGCAACCACATGTTTCGTTAAGCGCCCAATATAATTGATATATAATAACTATTTTACCTAACAAATTCAGGAGAAGTTGCGCCGCAGATTTAGTTTGACTTTAATTGAAAGAGTGACCGGTTTCAGATCAAGCTGTCATATGCAAAATTGGAAACGCCACAGCTTTTTTTTTGCTTACAATATTTATTTCCTTCTCGCTGATTTGCTGTTTTCTATCAAACTCACATTATTATATGTTGTCAAAATGTTTTCAGATGGTGTTGTTACGAAATACCATTAAAGGTGCGGTATGTGTTGCTGGCTGTGCAGTATTGGCTGCAAAGCTAAGGGATGATAATACATTTCGGAAGGTTCACTCATTTACTGGAGGAGAGGCGAAGACTTTCGATGATCACTTCCCTCGCGGTACATGGAACGATAACTGGGACTTGTATGTTTTAGTACCTTGGGTATAGTTGTTCTTTTTCCTCTATTCCTTGCACAAACTTAACATTGCAGTCGATCTCCATCGTTCCTTTTGAACAAGAACAAATATGATAAGGCTTCTGATGAAGAAAAAAAGAAAATGGAAGAGGCCGTGAAGGCTACTGCTAATCGGAATATCTTTCTTATCCGCCACGGACAGTACGAGTTGGACAACGAAAAGAAAAGCCTTACTCCTTTGGGTATGTTTTTTTTTTCAGAATTGATCGCCATTGTTCATTTAAGTCCATCTTTCAAATGCCATTTTTAATTGAGTTTTAGTTATTGTTGGAAATGAAAGATGGATTTTTTTCCTCGATTTGGGACGTTATTCCACATCGTCACTACATCGTTTTTTGTTACAATTAATGCCTGCCCTTTCATTCTTCTCTTTTTTTGCTTGAACAACATTATTTTATCTAGCCAGAAATTTATAATGAGAAAAGATATAACAATGTTAAACGTTTATGTGCTTTGTCAATCACCAGGCTGCGCTAGCAAAGTACTGTCAGAATTTTGTGGCGCATAATAAGGAACGTGAGATGATGAACATTACCATAAAGAAGAATTTTGTGCTGCTTATATCTTGAAACATCTCTTTTCTTTCAGTTTTTGATTGCGCTTAGAGTTTGAGGGATAACCTTGAAGTAATGAG